GCTATCAGTGAAAGGCCGGTAGATTTCACAGATGAAAACAAATGGATCGAAATGGACGGAAATGCTATGGCAAGCTTTCATCTAGCATTAGCAGCTGAAGTATTGTCAAGCATCGAGGAGAAGAAGACAACTAAGGAGATATGGGATCATCTTACCAAATTGTACGAGGCCACATCGCTGCACAATAAAAATTTCCTTAAGAGAAAATTGTACACTCTTCGTATGCCAGAATCTACTTCAGTGACGGAGAACTTAAACACACTAAACACTTTATTTTCTCAGTTTACATCCTTAAGCTGTAAAATAGTAGAACAAGAACGTCCTGAACTTCTACTTCAAAGTCTACCGGATTCATATGATCAACTCATCATCAATTTGACAAACAGTAATGTCACCAGTCTAGTCTTCGATGACGTTGTAGCTGCTGTTCTACAAGAAGAAAATCGATGCAAGAACAAGGAAGACAGACAAGTAAATCTGCAACAAGCAGAAGTGTTGACAACGATGAGAGGGAGATCAACATAACGTGGCCAAAGCAACAGTTACAAACATGGTAGATTGAAGTCGAGAAGCAAGAAGAATTTAAAGTGCTACAACTGTGGAAAGAAGGGTCACTTGAAGAAGGATTGTTAGAGTCTAAATAAAAACTCCAATCCACAAGGAAATACTGCAAACACTTCAGATGATGGAGATGCTCTATGATGTGAAGTGTTAACCACCGTAGAAGGTAAAAAGAGATATGCAGACATATGACTCATTTATTCGGGAGCAACATATCACATGATCTCAAGAAGAGAATGGTTCCATCATTATGAACCTGTCTCAGGAGGATCTGTGTATAGTTGAAATGATCATGCCTTAGAGATCATTGGCGTGGGAACCATCAAATTGAAGATGTATGATGGAACAATTAAAGTTGTTCGAGATGTGCGGCACGTGAAAGGCCTGAAGAAAAATTTATTATCCTACGGATTGTTGGATAATAATGCAAGTAAGATTGAAACACGGAAAGGAATCATGAAGGTGTTCCGTGGAGCGTTTGTGGTGCTGAAAGGCGAAAAGATAGCATCAAACTTATACATGCTGAAGGAGGAGACTTTGCTAGAAGCAGAAGCCTCTGTTACCTCATGAAGTTCAGATTATGCAATACAATGGCATCAGAAACTTGGACACATGTCAGAACAAGGAATGAAAGTCCTTGTGGAGCAAAATTTACTTCTGGGCTTAACAAAGGTATCACTTACTTTGTGTGAGCATTGCATAACAAGTAAGCAGCACCAGTTGAAATTCAACACATCAAATTCTAGAGGCAAAAGTGTTCTAGAATTGGTTCACTCTGACGTATGGCAAGCACCAGTTATATCCCTAGGCATAGCAAAATACTTTGTCTCATTTATTGATGACAACTCCAGGAGATGTTGGGTGTACCCTATTAAGAAGAAGTCAGATGTGTTTTCAACTTTCAGAAACTTCAAAGCGCGGGTGGAACTTGATTCTGGAAACAAGATCAAGTGTTTCAGAACAGATAATTGAGGAGAATACACAAGCGAAGAATTCGATGACTTTTGTAGGAAAGAAGGCATCAAAAGACAGTTCACAATGACAAACACTCCTCAACAAAATGGAGTGGCAGAACGGATGAACAGAACCTTGTTAGAAAGAACAAGAGCAATGTTGAGAGATACATGCCTAGAAAAATCATTCTGGGCAGAAGCAGTCAATACTGCCTGTTATTTGGTGAATCGAGCTCCATTAACTGCAATAGAGCTGAAGACACCAATGGATATGTGGACTGGTAAACCAGCTGATTATTCAAACCTTCATGTATTTGGAAGTATTGTGTACGTTATGTACAACTCCCAAGAAATTTCAAAGCTGGATCCAAAATCCAATAAATGCAAATTCTTGGGGTATGCTGATGGAGTAAAGGGGTATCACTTGTGGGATCCCACTGTCCGCAAAGTGATCATCAGCAGGGATGTTATCTTTGTAGAAGATAAACTACAAAGAAAAGAAGACGATGATAATGCTGAAAAGTCAGAGACTAAACAAATACATGTGGAAAAGGAGGTTGAACAAAGAGATTCTTCTGAAGCAGAACCAGCACATGATGAACAAGAACCAGAGAGTTCTAAAACTCCAACAACTTGTCAATCAGATTGTGTGAGAAGACGTCCCAATTGGCACTCAGATTATGTTATAGAAGGAAATGTTGCATACTGCCTTTTAACAGAGGACGGTGAGCCATCAACATACCAGGAGGCAATAAACAGCTCAGATGCTTCATTGTGGATGATGGCGATGCAAGAAGAAATTGAAGCCCTTCATAAAAATAATACATGGGACCTTGTGCCACTACCACAAGGAAGGAAGCCAATTGGTAACAAATGGGTCTTCAAAATCAAGCGAAATGGTGACGATTAAGTGGAGAGGTATCGTGCAAGACTGGTGGTCAAAGGATATGCTCAAAAAGAAGGTATTGATTTCAATGAAATTTTTTCTCCTGTGGTTCGACTAACAACAGTTCGAGTAGTCTTGGCAATGTGTGCTACATTGAATTTACATCTAGAGCAGCTAGATGTTAAAATAGCTTTTCTTCATGAAAAATCTTGAAGAATAGATTTACATGCTCCAGCCTGAAGGTTTTAAAGAAAAAGAAAATAAAAACTTGGTTTGCAGGTTGAACAAATCTATGTTCGATCTAAAACAGGCGCCGAGGTGTTGGTATAAGAGATTTGATTCCTTCATTATGTGCCTTGGATACAACAGACTTAATGCAAATCCTTGTATTTATTTCAAGAGGTCTAGTGATAACGATTTTGTTATATTGCTGTTGTATGTGGATGACATATTGGTTGCAGGACCCAACAAAAATCATATTGAAGAATTGAAGGCACAACTGGCTAGGGAATTTGAAATGAAGGACTTGGGATCAACAAACAAGATTCTAGGGATGCAAATTCACCGAGACAGAAGTAATGGGAAGATTTGGCTTTCACAAAAGAATTACTTGAAGAAGATCTTTTCACGATTCAGCATGCAAGATTGCAAGCCAATTTCTACCCCTCTTCCTATTAACTTTAAATTATCCTCCAGTATAAGTCATAGCAGTGAAGAAGAGAGGATGGAGATGTCTCGAGTACCGTATGCATCAGCAGTGTGAAGTTTAATGTTCGCTATGATATGCACAAGACCAGACATTACACAAGCAGTGGGAGTGGTTAGTCGATACATGGCGAATCTAGGCAAAGAGCATTGGAATACAGTAAAGAGGATCCTGAGATACATCAAAGGGACCTCAAATATTGCATTATGTTATGGAGGATCAAATTTACTTATCAATGGGTATGTCGATTCTGACTATGCAGGGGATTTGGATAAAAGCAAATCTACTACATGATATGTGTTCAAAGTTGCTAGTGGAGCTGTAAGCTGGGTTTCAAAATTATAGTCAGTTGTGGCTACATCCACAATAGAGGCAGAATATGTAGCAGCTACACAAGCCAGTAAAGAAGCAATATGGTTGAAGATGTTATTGGAGGAGCTTGGGCACAATCAAGAGTATGTCTCTCTATTTTGTGACAGTCAAAGCGCCTTGCATCTAGCAAGGAATCCAGCATTTCATTCAAGGACAAAGCACATACGAGTTCAGTACCATTTCATTCGTGAAAAGGTGGAAGAAGGGACAGTAGATATGCAGAAGATCCATACCAAAGATAACATAGCAGACTTCATGACGAAGACAATCAACGCTGATAAATTTACCTGGTGTCGATCCTCTTGTGGCCTGTCAGAAACGTAAGCAATATGAAGGTACAAGGTAGAAAGAATGGTGTGAAGATATGATTGTTCTAATCAAATCTTCAAGTGGGAGATTGTTCAAAGTCAAAGCATGTTTTTGTTGAAAAACATCAAAGCAGCCGGTGGCTTTCAAGAATTATTAAAAATTATTTTTTGTTAAATTATGCAAGGGATAATTACAACATTTAGTCACTTTACTTTTAGGGTATTTACAAGATTAGTCCTTAAGCTTCAACTATAAATACCCTAGCTCATTTAACTTCAAAACCATCCCAAAGCATTCTAGTTTTCTTCCAATACAAGAGAGAATTTAGAGAGTTTCTTGAGAGTTGTTTTCTCCTTTTTATCAAGAGAGAATTATCATTGTTTTCTCCTTGGTAGATTGAGAGAAGTTGTAATTCCTATTTTTCTCATAGTGAAATTCTTCTACGGTTGCCTGTGGTTTTTACCCTATATTATTTAGGGGTTTTCCACGTAAATTTTGTGTCTTCTTTATCTTCATTTTTATTTTCTCAAATTATCAGTTACGATTTTGCTCTATCCGATAGCCGTCTTCCGCAACACAAATGAGTCTCAAAATTTTTTGGGAATTACCCAGCTCTCCCCCCGAATGATCTTTCAGTACGGAAAACCAAAACTCCAACGTGTATATATATATATATATATATATATTGATCGAGGGCACCTTGCATGTAGTTTATAGGGTTTAGTTTTCATTTTGGGATTTGATCTTGGTTGTTTAAAGGTTAGATATGGGCCTAGGGAGGTGAATAGAACCGTTTTAGCATTTTTCGGAAGTGGTCGAAGTCAAACCGACCACTGTGAGCAGTGACCGACGACGTTGGCCTTCCAAGGCTTTCGGTCGAAGGGTTTAGAAGAGGAAACTAGGGGTCTCGATTCTGTTGGGGTGTGTTTGGGTCTCCATCGGTCGGGATAGAAGAGAGTTTGGAAGGTATATGGCCACCGTTCGACGACGTTGAGAGAGAGCCTTTAGGGCTCTAGACCGAAGAAGATATATATATATAAAACAATAAAAATATAGTCCCATCTACTATTTTATCTATTCCCATAAAATTTATTTATTTTCGTTCTAATAATCAAACAGAAAACAATATGACAAATATTTATTTATTTGTTTTGGCAAGCCCTTCCTTGTCTGGGACATAAAAGGAATCTTTCTATATTTCCCTTATCTCCTTCATTCTCTTTTCTTTCTATAATTTGGTTGCTTTTTAGGTTTTCTTTTTGTTTTTTTTCAAGTATCACCACCATCACTCACAGCACCCCAGAAAAGCAAATTAATACGAGAAAATACATAAATTCCGACCAATCAAAACCCACCACTTTCTTCCATTTTCCATCCTAAATGAGCTAGGATTGGTAAGTCTTTTTCTTGTCTTTTGCAACTAGGGTTTGTTTCAATGGTTCCTTCCTGATATCATTTTCCTTTTCCGGCGTCATTTTTTTTGTAGTATTTGATTCTTCTGGCTTACTTCGGAAAGCGAAAAAACAGTTATGCAGCTAATCTCTTTATCACAGTTCATATGTTCGGTACTTGGAAGAACTACTTTTCTCTTGTATTTCCTTTGGTTTGAGCTGAGAATCTGAGATCTGTATGTATATTGGGTTTGATTTCTTGTGACTAAACCCCAATTTTGTTTATCTGCATCTTAGCTTAGTAAAGGAACTTTTTTTTTCATGTTCAGATTTTGATATCCATGGAAATTATTGTTGCTGTCCTTGTTTACTTGAACACTTGGGTTTTTCATTTGTTTTCAGGGTTTAGATAAACTATTTTACGATATGACGAGACAAAAGATTGAGATCAAGAAGATCGACAACACAGCGGCGAGGCAGGTGACTTTCTCGAAGAGGATAAGAGGGCTTTTCAAGAAAGCTCATAAACTTTCCACTCTGTGCGATGCTGAGACAGCTCTGCTGGTGTTTTCAGCCACCGGAAAGCTCTTTGAATACTCCAGCACCAGGTTAGCTCTTCCCTCTTGTACCATATTTATGTCTTCTATCCCTTCTGGTTTTAAGATGAACTGTGGAAGTAAGAAAGGTTAATCGGTTTGAAAGAAGACCTGCAGAATCAAGAGAACTGTATAAACGTCTAATTTCATAATGACAAAAACTTGTTTAAATAATTCATGTCAGAAACTGAGTGGGGTTTTAGGGTTGAGAGCCGGGCAACTAAGAAAAACAAAAACTTGTTTAAATAATTCATGTCAGAAACCGAGTGGGGTCTTAGGGTTGAGAGCCTGGCAACTAAGAAGGCGATTGTTTCATCAAACTCGTTGATTTCTAGTTCCTAGTTTCAAGCTTTCCATGTATTTTCAGTTTCCCAATGCCTTTACAAGAACTTTTGATCGAGTAGGAGATACATCCATAATTTTATCCTTTACCATATAAAAATCTTCTTAGCAATGATTATGGGGTTACAAACAAGATTTCATTAAATAGAAATGAAAACCCGAATGCAAGGGTGTCTCTGATTACTAGAAACAAAAGTTAAAGAATTTAAAAAAGAGAATAGGGCAATAAACATGGGAAGACAAGGGCGGTTTTCTTCTTCTTTTTATACAAAGGCTAGTTCTACTTTTGCAAAGATGTGCCTTTGCTCAAGTTCATGATTGTAGGATTCCTTGTACTTTAATAATTATAATTACACTTTACAAGTTATTAATTTCTCTTATATACTGTGGTCTTAACATTTTTTCTCTGCGATTCACGTTTTACTATTGATATCCGAGATTAACTTACTGACAATGCACACATATCTTGTAGATGCAACTGTTCGAACTTAAAACCTCTAGGAGAATAATCTTTCATTTTACCAATGAGGTCACTTAATGGGTTTTATTGAGATAAACTTATTAGAATTATTTTAAAGTTTAAAATGTAATATAATCATTACATTGCAAGAATCTCAAACTTTTGCAAGCAAAATACCAAGAAATTTCTCCTTAAATCAGCCTGCTTATGTTTCCTAGTTATCAAAGATTAAGATGTTCTGAAGTGATGCCTATAAGAGCTGATTAAACATTACTTTATTATAATTGCATTTTTTTTGTCTAGTACGAGGCAGGTGATTGAAAGGCGTGGTTTGCTACCGGAAAGGATTGACAAATTGGTTACAACTCCATATCTTGAGCTGCAGGTTACGGGTGCTTTTAATTCTTTGTTTTCTTATTGATTGTATAACAAATCTTGAAGGATTTCTTGGAGAAGGAGACAAGCCTTTGCAAATAAATGAAAAGGAATGTACATAGAAAGTAGAGATAAAATTATAATACATCTTTTAATAGTAAGCAAGGTTTAGTAGAGTGGAGAATAAGGCTCGAGAGAACTAAAATAAATGGTTGTAGGAGTGGCGGACGCAAGTGGACTTCAAGGTGGATATGTGTTCACTTTAAAATCTGAATTTTTTATATTATTTGTTTATTTTATTGATAATTTCAACTTGAAATTTTATTTGTATTAATATCACATAATTTTTTTATTTATATATATATATATATGTCTACTCTTAAAAGTATTTTGAATACGTCACTGTGTGTAAAAGAGTTTGAGAGAGTTTATCCCATGCTAAAAGTTTCAAAAGTCTCCGAATGGGGTGTAGAGAATGAGAATCATATAGGTTTTGAATGGTAATAATGAAATACACTTTCCGTTACAATGATATTAATGATTTATTAAAAAAAAGAGTACAAGTTATGATAATATTAGATAATGAACATGGATTTACTATATTTTTAAAAGAAATAGAGAAGGATTTGATGCTATTTGAGGAAAGTTAAAAGAAAATCATCTAATTCAAGTGAATTTAACGATATAAGGGAATATTGTTCTCGTTAGAGATTTTGGGTTAGGACAATTGTCTGTAGGGTATATATATATATATATATATATATATATATATATATATATATTATCAATAATTAAGAAGAATTTTGAATAAATATTATTTTATAATACGTATACATCTGATCGTCAAGTAAAACTCATCATTACATTTATTGGGATACAAATTAAAGAAATATGTCATGTTCTTGAGTTATTTTCAGTTTTTTTCTACTTCGATGTAGTATCAGATGAAACATCTGATATGGAATACTTATTGGAGAAGACATCTTTCATTATAACCTTGTTTTATTCAAACAAATGCCTGGGACAGATCAAGTCAGTCTAACAGCTTTGCACTCGTTAGGATGATCCAAAGGAAGATTTGGCACGATAAACTGCAATCTTTGAATCTAGATAAGTATGTGAAAGTAGCACGTACGTTCATATTTAAACGTTAAACCTCCTGTGAAATATTATTATTGCTTGTATGAAATAGTGACATCTAGTACCACATTCCTTTATCGTATTTGCTCGGTAACCGGAACCCATTTTAACGAACAAGTTGCCCTTCTGGTTTGTTTTAGCTTGAAAGCACCACACACAACATGTTGAGCAAGGAAGTTGCAGAAAAGACCCGAGAACTGAGGTAAATCCAAATATTTACTGCTTTTGTTGTTGCTGATATATGAACTTATCATGATGATGTTGTGCCATTAATTCATTGACAGACAGCTGAGGGGAGAAGAACTCCAAGGATTAAACCTAGAAGAGTTGAAACAGCTAGAGAAATTACTCAAAACCGGCCTTAAGAGGAAGGTGATATAAATAGATAACTTATAACAATCTTCTGCATTCAAAGAATTTAATGACAAAAGGATCCACTTTATTGTTTTCTCAGAATTTTTTGTCTGCGATAATAACCTACTACTCATCGTTGTTGAATTTGAAGGGAGCAGAACTCAAGGAAGAAAACCAGAGATTGAAACAAGTGAGTGTTGAATATTTTTGAAATTTTGATTTTTTTCCCTGGCTTTCAGTGTAGTTCTGTTGTGCGGTGTAGTCTAATCTAAAGTTAATTTCTCTGGGTTTTGCATTTGTAGTAAGGGTGTTATTAGTATATGTCTTTTTAGGCGTTTCTTTTGTAACCTTCATCATCTTTATGTGCTCGTTTTCCCTTCTAATTCGAGGAGTTTTTTTAATGAGGCATAAGATGATCTTGTTCGATCATTTTCCTTTAATAAAAATCATGCATTGATGAGGAAAAAAAAACTTAAAATGTTATCATATGCAACATAAAAAAGTTATATAATTGATAATAATTTCGGTTATAACCGAGAATATCTTGACCGTAACTTTTTAGGTTGCAACCGAAATAGTTATGCAATTTACATGATTTGTTACGAAGAACGTAATATTTTCAGTTTCAACCTAAAATGTTACTCTATGCAACTTAAAAGGTCATACTCGTTTTTCAGTTATTAACAGATTATATTTCAGACTCATCTCTAGCTTTCAATATTGTATTTTACAACCAAGTTCAATATGCTAGGTGGAGAGTTTACCTCATGCAGTCCAAGAATTTGTAGGTCATCAAGGCCAGCCATCAGAGCCAGTTGCCCATGTTCACACATCTAGAGACCCTCGGCCTCATGGTTACAATAATAGCTCTGACATTTCTCTCGCACTGGGGTATGTAGTCTTAAAAAAGTAGGTTATTTATACTATATTGCTAATATATGTTTCTGTATATGGTATAATCCGACCTGAGTGTATCATCTATTGCCTTTTCGCAGGTTGCCTTACCCTAACTGATAGAAACATTAGAGGGGATGTTGTGAAGAAATGATCATCTTCATGCATATTATCTCATCTTTAAAGGCCATTTTATCCAAGTAAATATAGAACCTGAATTGTTTATTTTAATGTACTTGTGTATCAATAGGCTCGAGATAACCAATTGTTATTGATGCTTAGGGAAGATAGTGAAAATGGGATATCCAATACTATTCGGTGATAAAAATAATTGTTGTTATTCCTTGAGGTTTCGAGTTTGACTACCAAGAATATCAAGGGTACAAGCGTTCAATGTCAAAAGATTGAAAGTTATCTTTAAACAAATATTACTTTATAATTATCCAAATGAATAAAAAAATCATTCAGTTTACGTGATAACCAATGATATTTTTCTTAAATTTTATTATTATAGCAATTTTTTTAGAATAAGGGTGGGTCATCTAAAATGATTTATCGAATTGTACATTTTTTTGTTTATTTAAAACAACACTTAATTAAGCATTAGTGGAACATGAGATTAACTATTTACGGTTTGTACATTTTTTTAGTCCTAGTAGGTAAGGAATAATAAGGATAGATTGAAGAAACGGATGAGGGCTGTCGTTTCTTAATTTTTTTAATTTTTTTATATTTTATATTTTTTTATTGATATATAATATATTATTAATTCCTAAAATTTTATAAATTCTTTTCTCTAGAATTTTATACACATAATATAAAATCTGGAGTACGTCGCTATACATAAAGTAGGATTATGTACTTTTAGAAGAAAAAAAGTTATTTAATATTAAAAAAATTGCATTTTAAGTATGGTTTCGTCTATAGGTATTCTTGATTAACAACACATGGGATGGCAACTCATGGTGATTTAGACGATGGAAAATAGAAAGATTTCATCGATAATTTATGATTTATCATTTTAATATAAATGGTAGTAGAGGTGTAAATGAATTGAGTTTGAACGAATAAGATTGTATTTGTATTTATTTGTTTATTTTTTAAGGTGTTCATGTTCGATTCGTATTTGTTTAATTTTTAATATCGTGTTGATGTTTGTTTATTTATTTTTTAGGGTGTTTGTGTTTGTTTATTTATTGTAGGTAAACATATTCGTTTAACGTTCGTGAACATTATCGTTCATATGCTCAAAATTGGTGAAATTACAATGTTATTCCTTTAGCTCCTTAGGCTTCGTAGTTTGAACTCCAAAGTTCATATTGTGTTCAATTTAGTCCATATCTTCACCGATATTTAAAATGTAAAAAAGAAAAAAAAAAGGAGAAATGGGTAAACGAGCTTATAAAGAAGTCAGTAAACGAGCTTTCAGACGAGTTTGTTCGTAAACATAAACGAACCGAACACACCTTCGTTTTTGTTAGTTCATTTACTAAATAAACATAAAAGTTTTATTTATACTCGTTTATTTAACTTATTAAACGAACGTTTTACGAACGAATTATCACGAATAGTTCATAGAAAGTGATGTTCATTTACACCCCCTAGATTGAGAGTCATTAGTCGACGTGGATCTTTTTTCTAAGATAAACTGAATCGCTCAACTATTAATAGCATCAAAAATTACATCAATACAACCAAGAACATAAAAAATAAACCATCAGGATCTGAAATTTCCTGGCTATCAACATAACTTGTTTACAGCGTCACTTTTGCAGAATACCCCGCCTCCCTGCATGCATGCAAACTTTATTCTCTACACCTATTCTCCAAAAATAACTTTCCTTAAAAAACGACCTCTCTCCTTGTTTCGCATCCATGACATCACACCTTGGAAAATATTTGGCCTATAACACTTTGTAACACAGATTTTTTTTTCATGAAGAAACCTTCATGCTTGCTTACCCAACAAAGCAGCATTAAACAATTTTAGGTCTCTAAATCCAAGTCCTCCATCTCTTTTTTACTTACAAACCTTGTTCCATGCAACATAGGACCAGCCCCGTTCATCCGCTTTCCTCGACCACCAATACAATCTCATCGTAAACACACTATTATCTATAATTCCATCCGGCAGAGTGTAGCAATTGCATAAGTCAGCATTGATCTAAATTTCTTATAACTTCACTCAAAGTGCATAACCTTTCATGCTTATGTAAAGAGTTGCATGACATTAAAGTTAGTATTTTTTTTAAAAAAAAATTGAAATGTTATATCAACAAATTTAACATAAAAATAGCGTTATTAATAATTAAACTTTTAAATCTAAAAAGTGGAAGATTAAACTTCACAAAATAAAAGTATGAGGATTAAATTTTAAATGTACAAAAATACAAGGACTCAAAGTGTGTTTTAACCTAGGATAAAATAATAAGCAAAAAGAAAGATTAGTTTTATGCTGAACCGTCTACCACCACTCGACCCTCAATATCCAGAGATTGGGACAGTGGGATAGATAGAGAATGGGAGAAGAGAAGGTGAAAGAAGAAGCCATGCGGCTTATTGGGATCTTCCAACTTCTTCCCCGTTTGGTCGTTTTCGATCTTGATTACACTCTCTGGCCTTTCTACTGGTTTCTTTTCTTTTCTTTTTTTCTTTATATAGTTTGTGTTTCCAAATGAGAATACCCTCAAAATATTTGTCTTTATTCTTTTCATTTCAGTGATTTGATCTTAGCTTTGTATATATATCTGGGGTTAACAATGGACAATGGTTATACTTGTTGAGCTGATTATTAAATTCTATCTGCTTTTTTTAGTGAAACAGGATTAATTTTCACGATTCTGCTTTCAATGATTCATTTCACCAGTCTCTATGATTTATCACGAATTACTGATGCTTAGACCATCGAAATTAACTTAGGTATTCATCCAGTGATGAACCGAGGTGGACGGTAGCTAGGGATGGGTTGAGGGGAGCGAACGGACTTGAAAATTTCAAATCATATATTTTAAATATTTTTTATTGATAATCTATTTTCAACATTAGATTTTAGAAGTTCGACCCCAGCGTCTGTCCTGACGGTTGACCCCTGAAATTTTCAAAATTTCATATATTTCAAATATTTCCTATTAATAATCTGTTTCAAAATTTCATATATTTCAAATATTTCCTATTAATAATCTGTTTTCAACCCCATAAATTTTATAAGTTTACCCTTAACATAAAATCATGCATCCTTATATTCGTTTGTTTCATCTTAGTTGTATAAATAACATGTGACTGCCTTTGGCTGTGACCTTAGCTTATGTGCACGCGCACTTGCTCTGTGTTTCCCATCCCATACATGAAATGAAATGACAATTTTATGTTGTCTTTGTTGTTGTACTAGTTTGGCTTGCCATATTTTTCTGCTAATAGTGTATGTTCATGTGGTTAATTTTCAGTGAGTGTCGCTCCAAACGTGAAATGCCATCTTTGTACCCCCATGCTAAAGGCATATTATCTGCACTCAAGGACAAGGGGATTAAGTTAGCCATTGCTTCTAGATCTCCAACCCCCGATATAGCAAATTCGTTTCTTACCAAATTGAGCATCAATTCTATGTTTGTTACGAAGGTGAGCCTGTTAGAACCATTCATGGTTGCCTTTCTTGGTCTATATTAGCAGTTGTAATCATTCGATCTCAGCTGCTGAATCATTCATGGATGGCTTTCTTGGTCAATATTAGAGCTTGTTTAGAACAAGTTGTTCATATGCAAAGTTGGTCTTTTGCTGTTTATTGGTCACTTGGTTTGATGTTTGTTTGTCAACACATTTCTAATAGAAAAGACAGATCTTTCATAGTAATTGAAGGTTAATCATTCCACATATATTCAATCATTCAGGAAATTTTTTCCAGCTGGAAGAACAAGACAGATCATTTCCAGAAAATTCACTCAAAGACTGGGATCCCCTTCAACTCAATGCTCTTTTTCGATGATGAGGATAGGAACATACAAGCTGTAAGAATGGTTTTTCCTACAATCTCTTGTTGCCTCCTATTTTTAATTTGGCTTGGTCTATTGTTTGGTATTTCATGGTATTGGGTATTTGGATCTTTACCATTATGCATTGTGGTTGTAAGAACCTTCTCTACCATTTCTTTATCATGTTTTATGTTACTCGAACTCTTCATTTTTTCTATCACGCATTTGTGTTTGAAGCATAATAGGAAAGGAGTATGTGGGAAGATCCTCCAGTTATATGTAAAGCATATCGGTGTTAAGGCACATACTTATCCCATGCTCACTTTTGAGTCCGAGTTACATAGATTATGGATATTGAGGGAATGCTGCTTGAACTATATTATTATTCATTTACTAGAATCTGTAATGATAATGCCAGGTTTCAAAGATGGGAGTGACGAGCATATGTGTTGATAATGGGGTTAGTCTGGGAGCATTGAGACGAGGGCTGACAAAATTTGCTGAAAATCAAAATGCATCAGAGAAGAAAAAGCGAAAATAAGGTACAAAAAACTACTCTCAAAACCAGAACTTCGTCTGAGAAGAACTGAAAATGAGTTTTCTTCCATGCTATTCCTTGGTTTTAGAAATTCAACAAGGTTATATGGCATTTGTGAATTCTAGTTTAGATAAGTTGGAACAAAGGTTATATTGCTGCCATTAGTCCCCTTGCTCTTGCTGTCGAAACAGGGCATATACAAATACATGCTATTAGTAAATGTTGAACTTCATAGTTATACATTACTTGATCTTATACTTAGGCGCATATATCCCCAACCTCTAACCATCTTATGGGACTATTTTGGAGCTCCAAATGAGACTTCATTTGCTATCTTGGCTCCCCTCTCTTTTGCCATGTAAAGCCCTACATGATGCATGAATTCCTGCAACAACGAAAACAGCATCACTTGAGTGATTTTCAGTTTACATCGATTCATTTCTAGTCAGGATAAATGTGGCCCCCTCTCCAGTTTCTATCTAAAGCTTTCACCAAACTAAAAATCTCAAGAATATGAATGTTCCCTGAGGGTGAGGCAAAACTCCTTTGGTGTTTCTGGCAACCTGAAGGGGAACGTCAAAGGTTGCGCAAGCACGTGAATACAGGATAACATCCTTGAGAGGAGCCAGAAATCCTCGATTCCTTGCCGATAATGTTGAACACACGAAATCCAGCACACCCGAACTACCAGTATCTGTGTGTGACCATCAAAATCATGGTTTAAATAACTAATCACAGCTGAAAACATGGGTGCAATTCAAAACCCTGGTATTTTTTTCTGTAACGAGTTCTTACAGCTTCGATCTGATTGTTCTTCACCCAATCCACGAAAACATTTGAACCATCTACTTCCATGGCACCCAAATATCCATCGTAGCAATATTTCCGCCTGATTGTATCGTTTGTTTCGTTTTCTATCTATCGCAAAGCTGCCATTTTTTTTCATAAGTTTTTGATTTAGAAATTCATCACATAAATTTAAAAGGGAGAAGTAAACATATGTATGTATGCAGGAAGTTTGTCTCAATTTAAAAAGTTTAAAACTTGAGCTTGATTTAACTCGAACTCGAAATAAAAAAGTTGAAGCCTAACTGGACTCGAATTTTTTTTAAACTTGACTCAAATAAAAAATTGAAATTCAACTCGAACTTGAAATATTTTCAAACTTAAGATCGAATTTAAACCTTAAGTACATGAAAATTTTATATTATATTTAACTATTAATATTATTAATAATTTAATATAAAGATTTAAAAATTTTATATATTATTTTTTTCAAGTTGCTCATGAATTTTTTGAGTTGAGTATCAAATAGTTTATTTCGATTTGTTAAGAACTTGAGTCGAGTTCATTCAATTCGAATGTTAAACGAATATTGATCGAATGGATCTTAATCTTGTCTCATCCATTTACAGTCTTACATGTATGTACCTGGAACCAAATTTGATTCATCGGTGCCCGCAATACAGCGAGGAGGATAAGGATCCTCGGGCTTGTCAGGATGATGAGAATCGACAAACGCCATAACAGGCAATTTCTTGTCGCAGAAAAGTCTTGCCAGTCTTGCTGATTCGTTGATAATCCTCGAAATTTGTATGTTGTGTTCTCTTGGGGCCTAAAATACTAAATATTAGTGCCATAAAGTTGCCGAAATTTGGGATCGAGTATTTTAACCTAAAAAAGTATAGTTTAAGGGACAGGTTTACCAGGTTTCCAGCACCGACAGTGCAGAATCCATTGATAATGTCGACAAGCACAAGACCAGTGACAACATCTTCAGGCAAAACCACAAATTCCTGCTCCAGAGGCAACTCGTTCTTCAAAAGCTCAATTGTTTGCGACACCATTTTCAGAAGCAGCGCCTTCTTCATACACCAACTTCAGATATAGTACTGAATTTTCCGAGAAGAGAATGTTGATATTTAAAGGGCTTGAAATATCTCAATTATTGATGCATTTGGGATCGTAATCAAAGGATGAGACGTGCTGATCCATCCAAAATGACTTTCAAGCTTCACTTTGAAAATGGCATTTTTTAGTGACGTACTTGCGTTGAATATTCAGGTCATCGTTAACCTGTTGGCTTTATTTTGTCCACGACAACGTCCATTTGGATTATATTTTAATCGCAATTTATGATAACTCTTCTAAAAATCAACAGCCGGTGAAACTTTTCAAAATGGGAATTTAATCCCAATTTCACTTAAATAAATGATGAATTTTGTAAAAGTTATTGCTACTAGAGATGCAAAATTGAGTAATCGTTCAGGTTTCAGTCGGAAGGTAGGGTAAAATTGGATACAGGTCAAGTCATGTCAATTTGATGCTTCGACTCGGATCAGGTGGAGGTCAAATCAGGTCGGGTTACTTTCAGTTCGGATCGATATCAGTTCAGGTTAAAACAATTCAGGTCCAGATTAGTTAAAGACCAGTTTAATTCAGGTTGGATTGACTTCATGCATATCTCGTTCAGATCGGATCACATCATTAGCAGATAAAATTCAGGTCGAATCTTTATCATATATGGATTGAGTTCAAATCAGATCAATTTTTATTTTTGTATTAATTATTTTCGTCTTTCGTGAACGTTGAATTGTAATTGGTAATTGTATATGATTTAGAGTAAATTACTAAGAATATAAATAATCATGGATCAATTTTATGAAAAATATAAAAGTAAGGACTAAATTGAAATTACAAATAAAAATTTAAATAAATTAAACAACACACATTGATGAGGGGCCAAATCGAAATAATTTTAAAATGTGGGTTGAAATTAATATAGAAAAGGACTAAATTATACCCATTTAAAAGGTCATGGACTAATTACAAAAATATAAATAAGAAATAAGAAATAAGAATGCGCCAAATTCATATGCAACTATAAATTTAATGACTAAATTGAATAAATATGAAAATGAACGAATTAAAATTTAAATAAAATAAAAAACACAAAAGAATGAAATCAAAATAATTGTAAAATGTGAAACAAATTTGAAAAATATAATAAATTGTATTCATCTCAAAAGTTAAGAAAAAATTAAAACAATTATAATATATATATATATATATATATATATATATATATATATATATTAATATAATATATATAAACTATATTGTTTATATTTATAGTTTTATATACCATATATAAACTATGTAATATATATATATATAAACTATGTAATATATATATATATAGTTTATATAATTATATTAATAAACTATATATAAACTATATAGTATATATAAACTAATTATATAGTATATATTACATATATAAATTATATACTATAAAGTTTACATATGAACTATATAAACTATTTATATACTATAATATATATATATATATATATATATATATATATATATATATATATATATAAACTATAGTTTATATTTATACTATATACTATAGTTGATATTTATATATTATATATTATATAATATAGTTTATACTTATATAATTTATACTATATAAATTTAAAGTACATACTATATAGTTAAATACATTAATTAATAAACTATTTATATAGTATATACTACATATATAAATTATATATACTATATAGTTTACATATGAATTATATATAAAAACTATATATATATATATAAACTATATACTATAGTTGATATTTATATACTATATAACATATATAGTTTACTTATGAACTATATATATAATTTATTAATGAACTAAATAAACTATTTATATAGTATAAATTATATAAAAACTATATATTATAGTTGATAAATTATATACTATATACTATAGTTGATATTTGTATACTATATATTATGTATATAAATTATATATACTATATAGTTTACGTATGAACTATATATAAAAACTGTATATATATATATATATATATATTATAGTTAGTTTATAGATAAACTATATACTATAGTTGATATTTATATATTATATACTATAGTTTATACTTATATAATTTATATTATATAAATTAAAAGTATATATTATATGTATGAATATTAGGGCTGTAAATGAGACAAGACTGATCGCGAGCTACTCGAGATCGACTCGGCCAAGGCTCGATAAATACTTGGATCGAATGGACTCGACTCGAGCTCGACTCGAATTCTTAACGAGCCAAAATGAGCTACTTGATACTCGACTCGAAAAACTCGTGAGCAGCTCGAAAAATATAATATATTAAGATTTTATTTTTTAAAAAATAAATTATTAATAATATTAACATTTATGTATTGATTTTTTTTTAAAAAATACAGTAAGGCTTTAATGTATTTAAGGTTCAGGTTCGAGTTTGAGTTTGAGGCTTCAATCTAGTTAAGTTTAAGATTTTTTTTTCATTTCGAGCTTTTTAGAGCTGCTCACGAGCTTTAGTTCAGGATTTCGAGTTCGAGTTGAGCTTAAAAATTTTAAGCTCGCGAGTTTTCGAGTCGAGTCGAGCTCCATTTCAAAGTTTTCGAGTCGAGTCGAGCTCAGCAATACTCGAGCTCGACTCGACTCGTTTACACCCCTAATGAATACTATATATTTGAGATCTAATTTTTTTTACACGCTCGAAACATGACCGACGACTAAGGCAGAACGGTAGCGGTGCGGCGGCGCCTCGACGAGGAAGATGACGGTAACGGCGCATGTGAACCACACTCCGGTGATGCGCCGACGAGGTCTTCGACTAGTTGGGATGCACCGATGGGGAGTGCACCTCATTTGGATGATGAAATCTTAGCCATTGGATCCAATCTTGATCCAATGGTTAAGATTAGTTCTTGAATTTTTACTTGGATGTATGATGTGGCTTAATGTGAGCCATTGGATCTAGCTTCTCATCCAAGGGCTCACATGAATTTTTGTTTCTTTCACATGGATTGAAGCAATAGTGACCCTTGGATAAAAGTTAATCAAGGGTAGAGATTAATTTGTATTTTTTCACAATTATTGGTGATGTCATCACCTAAAAAGCCACACCACCATAAATGTTTCATCTTTGACTTTTCAAAGCAACAAAATCCCCCCCCCCAAAAAAAATTCAAAGCAACAAAATCCCCCCCAAATAAAAACCCAAAATCAGCGGCTAAGGATCAAGCAATTTAGGATTTTTATTTTTTTATATTTTTATATATTCATTTATGAATATATTTGTAACAATTTGGGCTATTTATTTGAGCCTTTGGAAAAACTATGTAAATGAACTATTATCTAATAAAATTGACTATTATTTTGGGTTTTTATTATTTAAAATGAGCTATACTAATATGGACTATTTATTCTAACATGCAAACTATATAGTATATACTAACTATATAATATAAACTATGTAATATACTAATTATTTAATATCAAATATAATATGCAATTATTTGATATGAAACTATATGATATGCAATGCAACTATTATTTAATATATACTATATAACATGCTAATTATGATTTAATATGCAATCACCTAGCAAATATACACTATATAATATATGATATATCTAATATGCCAACTATATACTATATACATACTATATATTATACACATGCCCACACATTTATTATATTACTATATTATAATATGAAAACGCCACATGTCACCACCCAGATAAAAATGGTTGATGACAGATACAAAAATTCGATGAAGAAATTTCTTGTAGAAAAGTTAGACTTTTAGCCTTATAAAACTTTTTTTATAAGATCTGAGAGCTTAAAAAACACTTTGTTTTTGTTCATTTTATTGTATTCAATTGTAATAAATCATATGTTATTCAAATTTTATGTCAAATGTTATTTACATTATCAATACCAATTAAATTCATCTTTTATATTATGTTTTATATATGTTATAATTGTTAGATAAATTTTCTTTACATAAATTAAACTATATAATTTACATTTAAAATAATTTGATTAACCATGTTTGATGCCAATAAATTATTCTAACTTGTAATCATTATAATTAATTTAATTAATAATGTTCAATACATAAATTACTTGATAAAATAAAATTAATGATTATATTGAAAATTTATAACATAAGAATCATAATTAATATAATAAATCTATTTATTAAATTAATTATCATAATTAATATTTTATTATAACATTTAAAAATTAATCATATTAATTAGTTTGATTTATCATATACTCAATTTTATTAAAATCTTACAATTTCATCAATGGTAATATATAAGTCATGTAAATGTCAAGTCTAGTAAATATCATAACATGTCTGTAACACCCCTAACTCATACCCAACTCAGATACGAATCCGAGGTGTCACATTGACTTTTCAAAACATATGTAATTAACATATAAGAAAAATTTTAAATTTTTGGTCAAGATAAAAATATCAACCTTAACTTAAATAAGATAAACATTTCACATTCGTATTTACATAAAAGTTTTGATAGTTTACATAAATGCAAAATATGAGTTTACAAAATTGATCAGATCATTTCAAATTAAACATATAATACATTCCAAGAGTTTACAAAATTAACACAAAAACCTACATTTAATTTGTAACATCCTCAATACCGGGTTAGTGACTAAATTGTTAAACTTCATAATTTGGTTACTAAAGTAGAATAATTGAATAGTTCAAGGACTTATATGGAAAATGTTTTGTAGGATTGAATTGCAAAGGAGGAATAGAGGGACAAAATGGTCATTGGCAAGGAAATAATTAAATTTTGTTATGGTTATATATAACCCACGTGGATGGAAAGGAGGAAAAGATCAACATTCCTGAGTTCTCTTATTCTCCTTCCTTCTTCATACATGAAGGCTCAAAGCAAAGATATTGATCGTAAACTCGTTCCGGAACAATCGAAGAATTAGAAATGGTTGAGAGAGATAAAGGTTTAGAATCGATTCGAATCATGTAAGGCTAAGGTGAG